GAAGAAATTAAGCAAGTTGGACTGTGAATAATTAATAGCCTATCAGGGCTGGGCTAGTGATGGGGAAGGGTAGGATGTAGATCAGGAACTCAATTTAACGGAATTAGAATTCTCACATCTGGCAGCTATGGGGGTAAAGGGGAAGCAGGGCAAGGAAGAGGAAGTGGCTGCACGAGTCCAGGTAAGTGACAAGGTGGCCCAGTCCAGGGTGGTGGCAGCGAGATGGGAAAAGTTGTGCGGATTTGGGCATGTTTTCGCCTAGCTGGGTAAATTTTCACTTTGGCTTATTAAGCACCTTCTGTCATCGCCTGCAGCCCAGGGGGCTTTGATCCCCAACTTCCTAGAACCCTGTTCTTGCTGCTGCTGTCTGTGGCCTCTGCCCGGGGTGTCACCCAAAACCCCAAAGACTGCGTGGCGTTCCAGTCAGAGAAAGGCAGTTCCATCTCCTGCCACCCGCCTGCCGAACTCCCCAGCTCCCTCCCAGCAGACACCTTCCACCTGGTCCTGGAGCTCTTCAACCTGACCCAGCTGCCCCCTGACATCCTAAAGGGAGCCTCTAAACTCCAAGAATTGCACCTCTCCAGCAACCGGCTGGAGAGCCTCGCGGCCGAGTTCCTGCTTCCCGCGCCACAGTTGCGGGTGCTCGACCTAACCCGCAATGCCCTGACCCGGCTGCCACCCGGGCTCTTCCAGGCCTCGGCCGCCCTGGAGACCGTGGTGCTGAAGGAAAACCAGTTGGAGGTCTTGGAAGCCTCGTGGCTGCACGGCCTCAAAGCGCTGGGGTTTCTGGACCTGTCCGGGAACCGCCTCCGGAAACTGCCGGCTGGGCTGCTGGCCAACTTCACTCTCCTGCGCACGCTTGACCTTGGGGGGAACCAGCTGGAGACCCTGCCGCCTGACCTTCTGAGGGGGCCGCTGCGTTTGCAACGGCTGCACCTGGAAGGCAACCGATTGCAGGTGCTTGGAAAGGAACTGCTCGAGCCGCAGCCAGACCTGCGCTACCTTTTCCTGAACGACAACAAGCTGGCCAAGGTGGCGGCTGGCGCCTTCCGAGGCCTGCGGCAGCTGGACATGCTGGACCTGTCCAATAACTCGCTGGCCAGCGTGCCCGAGGGGCTCTGGGCACCCCTAGCGCAGCCCGGCCGGGACATGCAGGACGGCTTTGACATCTCCGGGAACCCCTGGATCTGCGACCAGAAACTCAACGATCTCTATCGCTGGCTTGAGGCCACAAAAGACAAGATGTTCTCGCAGAACGCCACGCGCTGCGCTGGACCCGAAGCCGTGAAGGGCCAGACGCTCCTGGCAGTGGCTGGGTCCCAGTGAGGCCCGGGGTTGGAATCGGGGTGGGGGCCTGGCAGGACCCTGCACCCCACTTAGCAAATAATCCCACCTTCTGGTGAGACTCAACGCTTTCCATGGCCCCGGCTCACGCCGTGGGCTTTCCGGACCTCCCTGCCTTTGCACGAGCTGTCCCCGCTTCCAAGATTTGCCCATAGCCCAGACCTCTTGGTCTCTGGGTCCCCCCGGCCCCCGTCCCTCCCTCCGGACCAGCCCTGGACCCCCCCAGGGTTGTTTTTCTGTGGCCTCCCCGGTTTACGGGGCTCTCAGAGTGCAGCGTCTATGATTCAGTCCCACTTAGCTTGGGGTTCGACCTGAGGGGTTTAATAAATAACTTGCAAACTGAACTAGCCGAATTGGTGTTTTTGTGTCCCTTGTGTCTCCATTGTCGACTTGCTGTGACTCCAGGGTGACAGAGGAGGAGAGAAGAGGCATGACCCAGGCCTGGGGTGTGGGACGAGGGCTCCCCAGTGCATGGCCACTGGGGTCGATGCCCTGTGTCGCTGCTCTTCTCCCTTCCCCCAGCCCAGAAATTAACTGGAAATAAAACTCTGCGCATTGCCCGGGTGTCGTTTTACCAGTGGATTTCTGCCAGGGCTCGTGTCCCGGCAAGGTTTAAATTAAACCAGATTGCCCAAGTCTCCAAACAATGTGTCATGCTGGCCTGTGACATTTCAAGGGGGCACCTGCCCGGGGCAGGCTTGAGTGGGCTGCGTGGGGCTGAAGGGACAGGCAAGGGCCCAGGGGGCTGTGTTCTCACAACTCAGATCCCAGAGCCACCTGCCGACATAGGCAGGTGGGGGCTACAGTCAGATTTGGAGATCCTGGGGTGTTGGGGTGCACGGCCAGTGTTTTTCAGCCCCCTCGAAGGAGGGTCATGTCCCCCTGGAGGGTATTTCTAGGAGAGCTGGGTTTGAATACAATCCCTCACTCACTATAGTACCCGGGGCAAGTGGTTTAAGCTTTCTGAGCCTCAGTTTGCCTGTCTGTAAAATGGGCATCCAAGCGAAAGGGCTGACTTAGTTTCTGGCTAAAGTCAAAAAACAAATTTAAAAAAATAAATAAAAAGAAAGA